TCAGCATCTCTCTCAAAAAAAACCCCAACAAAATAGGGAAACTGAAAATAAACAGGTGTCTGGGACGGCTTGCAGGGGTATCCCCCTCATAACAGATCAATTTCTTTCTCTTATCCTTCAGTGTTGTTGCAATGGTTTATTTTGCCATAATTTTTCTTACTTTACACCTCCCAAATAGAGAGTCTTGTTCCATTCATTATATGTTCTTAAGGAAAAAAGGTGATGCAGTTCAATGGCAGGCTTATTTAGACTGGGAAATTAAAATTGACATAAAGCAAAAGGTACAATAATTTTACACATATGTATATACCTACATGCATATGTCTATTCATTCCTATCTAAGCAGAATTAATGTTATGGGCTTTTTATATTTATATAAGCTAAGGGAGATTAACATACATTTATAGAAAATATCAAGATAAATAGTTGAGACATATCAACATTGTGGCTGTGCTTCTTAGCTCCAGTGAGAAAACAAGCATTCTTTTCCTGATGGTTCCACATTTATCAGGTTTCACAACTTCACAACCATTTTCTCATGGCTTTCTTCACTGGAAGTCTTTTAGTGCTTTAGGTCTTATAGGAAACCATTTGACTCTACAGGAAGTCCCTCTCCTAATTTCTTGTACCTAAATTGTATCTTTATAGAATCATAGAATCATAGTATCTTTGGGTTGGAAGGGACCTTTTAAGGTCATCTAGTCCAACCTCCCTGCAATGAGCAGGGACATCTTCAACTAGACCAGGTCGCTCAGAGACCCGTCCAACCTGACTTCGAATGTTGCCAGGGATGGGGCAGCTACCACCTCTCTGGGCAACCTGTGCCAGTCTTTCACCACCCTCATTGTGAAAAATTTCTTCCTTACATCTAGTCTAAATCTACCCTCTTTTAGTTTAAAACCATTCCCCTTGTCCTATCACTACAGGCCCTGCTGAAAAATCTGTCCCCATCTTTCTTATAGGCCCCTTTGAAGTGCTGGAAGGCTGCTATAAGGTCTCCCCGCAGGAGAGAGAACTTGTTCTCCAGGCTGAACAACCCCAACTCTCCCAGCCTGTCCTCATAGGAGAGGTGTTCCACCCCTCGGATCATTTTTGTGGCCCTCATCTGGACCCTCTCCAACAGGTCCATGTCTTTCCTGTGCTGAGGGCTCCAGAGCTGGATGCAGGACTCCAGGTGGGGTCTCACCAGAGTGGAGCAGAGGGGCAGAATCACCTCCCTCGCCCTCCTGGCCACGATTCTTTGGATACAGCCCAGGATATGGGGGCTGCCAGTGCACGTTGCGAGCTCATGTGCAGCTTTTCATCCACAGGACCCCCAAGTCTTTCTCAGCAGGGCTGCTCTTGATCCCTTCATCCCCCAGTCTGGACTGATACCGGGGGTTGCCCTGACCCAGGTGCAGGACCCTGCACTTGGCCTTGTTGAACCTCATGAGGTTCACGCGGGCCCTGGAACAGTGGCAACAGAACAGCCTATGTGCTGGAACAGTGGGCAGACTAGCCAGCTCTGGGTTTTGTTTTCTTCTGCTTTATAATTCATACCATGAGACTGCTGCATTCTCGAATCTGACCCCAGAGACTCCAGTTGCAATATCCTCGCATCTTTGGCAACATCTCTGTGCTCCCCCTTGGAATTTTCTAACACTACAAATGGTATCACGTATCCGTGCCTACTAGGTACATAAAAATGAACAGTATTTAGCTTTGTTCCAACTTAGATAACAAAATCCTCTTTTCCCAAGGAATGAAGACATCTAGGACACGAGTTAGCAGCTAGAATGCTGGAGTCAGCGTTTCATTCCATGAGAGTGAATAGCATCAGACCTCCAGAGATTTCTTAACTGACCTTCAAAACACAAAGTCTAGCTTCCAGCAATCTTAAAGTAAACATATTTCTCTAGAGATTAGGATCAAAGCACAAGAAAAACATTCTACTTAACTACGTGGTGCTCATACCATTACTTATTTATTGGAGCAAGGGTAAGTGGTGCTGGGGGAGATGAGATTCACTTTTTTTGTTGCATTGTCTAACTGTAAAAGCAGTTCACAAAGTTTACCAAGACCTTTGCCAAGAGATTTGCAAAAATCGTCATTCTTTTTCATACCATTGCTGGTTTATTCCCAAATATGGTTTTATGTCATCATGGTCAAACCCTGAAGACTTTTTCTGAAACAAAGCCTTGAGTGACTTGAGCGCTTTAACAAAGGAGCAGCTCAAGGACAACCACAGGCTTTGACTCTGGTCTTGGGTGTACTTTTTTAATGTACTCAAGCAACCACTGTCATCTGTAAAACAGGAGTAATGGCACTTTGTTCCTGTATCCGTATAGGTTTTTAGAAGGATAATTACGTTACAAATTCTGGAGTTCTGGAGTATTACAATAGCAGGTCTTGTATGTGTATATAACCCAGGCTTCCTGGAACAGATTATGTTCCTGGGAAGAAAAAAAAAAAAAAAAAAAAAAACAAGAAAACCACTTTTTGAAGAAAATTTTGGGGTATATAGAGTTTTCAGTAACTTAAAAACTTATCACCATTCCTTAGAATGAAAAAAGAACGTATCTGCAGGTATCTGAAGCTATTTGTTGGTGAGCTTTGTACAACAAAAAGCATAATCAGTAACAGATAAGCTCCTCATGCATTCCCTGTTAGGGTTTTCCTGTCACCACTTTTAGGCTGAGACAAATCTATGTTAGGAAGCTGGGGCACTGATTCAGCAGGGAGGAAATCAGAAAGGTAGTCTGCTCAGGGTTATCCGCAGAAGCAGTTCATAACTCTTAACTCCCACAGGAAAAGGAATGAAAATTCCCCTGAAACCCAGTTTCAAGCCTGTCCTATGACCTTGCATATGGATCCCAGTTAACCATAAACATTCCTTGATCATCTCCCTAGCCACCAATTTATACTGCTTCCCCAATATAGAAAATGAGCAAACCTTAACCTTGATTTTGGTGATGACCGTGTAGTGATTGTGCACTGAATTACTGTGCTGTGTCTGGTTTTATATGTCATATTGTGTACATGTACAAGCTGATGGTTGTCATTTTCTCATATACATGGGTTAATTTGTTTCACATTCAAATCTCTGTTTGATCTTAAGGAAATGGAAGTCCAGATTCAAGCCCTATTATACCTTTATTCCAAGGATATCACATAAAACACATCTGTAACATTTTTAAGCAAGCATGTTTCCCACTGATCTGAGTTACAGATTATTTGACTTCCTTACTACACTCTCTCTAGGCTGGCAGGGTAAGGTATAGGGCAGTCAGAAATACAGTAAATCAATACAACTCAAAAGATTTTAAATTTACAGGAGCAAGTTTTCCCTAGCTTGTGCCAAATGATCAAGTCAATGCTTTTGGTCTGAGATAAGCATTATAGCCTCTCTCCCTGCCTCCTTTTCACTATTATCCCCCCAGGAACAGATTAATAAATGCCTGACCTTATGCATTGGTGCCACTGGAGACCTGCAGTAATTGTTCTTTCTCGTAGTTCAAACAATCATCTTGGATTATATCTCATGAAGCAGAAACACAGAAAAAGATGAAACGCCTTTTAAAAACTGAACCGTGGGTGTAAGACATGCAGTGAGTGTATGAAAACAAGTATGAGGGAGTAATTCTAAATGGACTATATGTAAGCTCTGTTATGGAAAGTACTTCCTCTAATCTTGTTCTTCATGTGCTTCCCTTCCTTACTCTCAGGCTTTGCATCTGGTTAAGATAAACTAATTTGCACTGTTATTCAAAGTGCAAAGATTTCAGCTGCCAAAAGTTACTGATATGTAAATATTTTAGGAGACCTTCCCTGATTGTTCCCAAATCCTCTAAAACGTATGATTGCTGCCTCTGACTGCCGCGACACTCAACGAGTTTAATGAAGAATGCAATCCAATGAGTCCAGCAGATGTTTCTGAGTTTGCTTCACTGGGAACTTTCTGGATTCTTCTTCCTTCATTCTCAGGAATCAAGACCCAATTTTAGCAAAGTGCTGATGGTCCAACCAGCAACAAGAAGACTGAAATAAGTCTTCATCTCCACAATCCTTAAAACGTTCATCGTTGCAGATTATAGGCAGCTGAGGTTTGGATGCTTATCCAAGCTTCTTTAGCCTGGAAAACTGAAGGATGGGAAACTTGTACGATTGGCTCTCAATAGATTTGTGGTATTTCCTGCACTTGTCTGGCACAGAAATATAATCTATCTCACAGTATTCTGGCACTGCCAACGTGGAACCTGGCAATACAGAAATATGTAAGAAAAGACAATCTTTTCCAATAACAACAAGGGGAACTTACTTTGAGTTATGATTTTGTTTGAGTTATGATTTAGTTTATTTCTCTTTATATTTTGCTCTTTTGCTATCCAGGGGTATTTGTGTCATCTTACATTGCTACCACATGCTAACAGCACAGCTGGGATTATGCAAAACCAGCCATATAGCTTGGAGTCCCTTGCCTTTTTTCTGTTCAGTCAGGGAGAGGCGGGAGTATTTTGTAAAGGAAGGAATGAGCAGAAACAGAGGAATGGCAAGAGAAAGCCAGGAACACACTACCACATGCTTGCCGCTTCTCTTTGGCCTTTTAACTACGCAGTTGGTTTAATTTTTGAACTGTATCTTCTATCTCCCTTCCCTGATTTCCGGATAAACCATGCCTCACTGTCCAGTAAATAATGCTCATAATGTCAGTAGCTGTACATAGAGAATGTGAAGATGGCTTCGTTTTCAAGTACCTGACCTATCAGTGTAAGTACCATTAGATTAAACTGAAGCAGCCTTCTTTCTGCTCATTATATAAGTAACACAACACACAGTATATTTTGTTAAATACTACCATTTTATTGCGGAACAGCCCAGCATTAGAAAACCAGGGCTCTGCAAATGACCAAGAAACGCCTGTCCTAACTTTCACAGGTGAAGCAACATTGTTTATTATCTGGGCAAGCAAATGGTCATCCACTGAATTACACGATTTTTCCGTCTTTCCAGGTCACATGGAGAACCCCGCCAGAATGACCAGCAATGATACAGACTGCCATTACTGCCTGCAGTCTCTTCGTGGAAGGAAGTATGCATTAAGAGAAGAAAACGCTTATTGTGTTACGTGTTATAACAGCCTGTTTGCCAACCCCTGTGAAGAGTGCAAGCAACCTATTGAGTGCAATTCCAAGGTAAAGATTTAGCTTTCACTTCTCGTTCTTTGCTAAATTACACACAAATCCCATTTCTTTAGTGGCAGATTCTGTGTCTGACCCTCTGCATATCTCTGTGCTGATGAAGAAACCTAAGCATAGTTGTTATACATCCACACACAGCAGAGAGAAACAGTGCTATTTTCCCAGAATAAGAAAGGTCTGGGGCCGAAGATTAGGAAATCTGCACATACGTATACCTCAAACATAGGTCAATGCTATGGCGTATGTGTGGACCGCAACTGGACTCCATGCTTCACCTGCAGTCACTCACTAGCTGCAGAGACTGCACAGTGCGTGAGTGGCTGTAGGGTGCTGGTGTAATTCAGTAAATCAGGTTGAATGAAATTTAGGAATTTCTGAGAGATGTCTATTGAAAAAAGTATTTTGAGTATGGGATAAATTACTTTTAGTGTAGGTGAAAGCTTGACATGCAGATGTCAGGCTGAAAAGAAACTATGCTTATAATTCATATATGATTGCCCCAGTCTTTTGGAAATGAAGTATATTTTAATTTTAACTTCATTCCATGCTTATCTTGCTCATCTTATAGATGGCATGTTAGCCACAATGTTTCTGGGCTTGGCTTTCTTTTCACCTCTCTCCTTTTTTAGAATATTAATTAATAACGCAAGGTCCTCTTTGGTCTTTGACAGGATTTCCAGTACCCCATCCTTCAATTTACAGCCTGTACTTTGACTTTTAAGTTCAGATTAAACCAGTCCAAATGCCTTTGTTTTGCCAAGTTCGGTATGTAGTGCTCACCTTCTCTCATGATCGCTTTACCTATGTTCTTTTGAAATAAAAGGTCAGGACGTTATTAAAATAAGCCTCTCAGGAGGCCTCCCTGGCCAAAGTACTTCACGGTTTTCAAAGCACATTGTCTGAGTACAGCTCAGTACTGTAAAGGAATCATCCAAGGAAATTGCTGACTTGGATGAAGACTCTTCTCAAACTCTCATCAGCATTTTTCAACAGCAAACTTGTACATGTAGCTCCAGTCAGGGTCACCTGGAGAACATGTGCTCCGAGTTCACTAATTTCACTTCTAAAGTTGAAAATTAAGTAAGCAGCAGAACTACCAATGTCAAAGGTCGTTAACAAAAAATCATGTTTTTGAGCAGAAGGGAAAACTGGGAGAAAAAAGCAGGAGTAACAAGAAAGGAGTGCAACAGGCCAGAGACAGCTAGAAAAGCGGCCCACAGGGATCTACAGCTGGTTGTCCCACCTCTGGCAAGGTGCTAGATCTTGGCTCTCTTCCTCTCCTTACCCAGTCTTTGCCTCAGGCTGCTCTGGGGCAACAGCCTATTTTCTAAAAGGTTCAGAGTGTTAATTAACATAAATGAAACTGGTAATCTCTCAGTACCTCCTGAAATGAAGTATGGTATGTATTTCATTCTTAGCACTTTAAAGAGTGAGGATCTGACAAAGGAGAAAAATGAGACTGGATTTCTTCCCTTTTGTGCTTCTTTCTTATAAAGGAGACCTGGAAGGGTCAGGTTTATTTGGGGGTGGGGTGGGGTGGTAAATTTTTCCCTTGTTTTTTTAACCTTGGAAAAATAAAATCTGGTCTTTACTCTTTTTTTTTAATTCTTAGTGGAGGTCTCATACATATTCTGTTAGCTTTTTGGTCCCCTAAGCCTGCTGAGTTTTAAACAAACATTCTTCTGCCAAGTTTTAAGGAGGAGTTATAGTAGATATAAACAAAAACAGTGATTTTTAAATAATCTTCCTAAGAATAATTTTATTCTTAGTAAGATTTTAATTGCTTGTTTTCTGCAATAATCTGATCTTTCTTTAGTGTTATGTAGTGCCAGCTGGAAGAAAAAGTAGTACCGTTAAAAAATACATAAAGTTCATTTCAAAGTCTGTAGAGAATGCACTTCTTGTCAGGTGGCCTGTGCACATTAATAATGTTTATCACTTGTTTCCCCTTGAAGGCCAACTATAAAATATAAAATGGTTCTTCCAATAAAAACACATCTCTGAGGAAGGACTATTGCCTGTGCCAAAGCAGCTCCTAATGGCCTCTGCAAGAGACCTACAAAATGTCCTGACACAGTGACTTTGAGTAGTTGTATCGCCTCTGAGCACACCTCCCACCGGATACACATGTCATCTCTTCAAGTCCCCATTGCAAAACCCTCCATTTTCCACTTTATTTCTGGGAGGAGCTGGGGGATAAAAACACCATAAAGAAATGTCTTCATTAACATGGACTTACTTTCTCCAAGGATCTGGCCTACAAAGGCCGGCACTGGCACGAGAGGTGCTTCAAGTGTGCCAAATGCAGTCGCTCGCTGGTGGAGAAACCGTTTGCTGTCAAGGACGAGCTCTTGCTGTGTACTGAATGCTACTCTGACGAGTATTCATCGAAGTGTTTCCACTGCCAGAAGACCATTATGCCTGGTAAGACCCTTCAGTGAGAAATGGAACCGTATTTTTAATTGTAACCAGATCCTTGAATGACTGAGCTACAAGGTCCTTGACTTTCAGAACAGCTTTCAGGTGACTAGTTCTCCTTTGTGTGTAGTACCCTCCCAGCGGTGAAGAGAGGGCAGGCAGGTATCTCTGGTCTAGCACTGACAGGGCTTATGAATCCTGATAAAGAATATTAAAGTTCAAGATAGGGTAAATAGTGTTCATGTTGAGTTCTTGATTCTGTTGCAGTTTTTAGGAAGCACATCCCGCTGTGAGTGTAGGTAGGCAAACAGAGCTATCGTTAGCAGGAGTGCCAGATTAGACAAGACATCTCCATTTTTGCCTGTCACGTTGACCAGACCTTGAGCTCGTGTTCTGTATAGCATTTCTTTCACTCAGAAATATTTTTTGTTTAAATTGCCAAAACATGACATTCTGTGTTCAAATCACTATCAGCATTTTTACTAAAAAGAATACAAGTACATTTGTGTTTACAATAGGTTTACTGCCTGCCATTAGCAGCCTTGAAAATTCTGCACTTTCCACTAGACTGCTTCTCAGCTTTCGATCATGTCTGTTCAGGGCATTCTCTAAGCCTTTCATTGCTACCACACCAGTCAAGCTCATAGAGAAGAGAGACTGCCTAAAAGCTGCCTCTTCAGAGGTATCTGAGAGAAGACACAGCACCATGTGTGGCAAAATGAAGCAGCTTGCTTAGGAAAGTGGGTCCCTAACTTTTGGAACAGTGAACTACGCTCACTCCTTGAACTTTTTTTATGGATCACATGTATAACTCTCAATACCAGCTTCAAACTATCTGCCATGGCCTCATGACTAACTAGTTTGGGAACCTTTGACCGAGTACGTCAGTAAATTTGGCAGTGACATAGGAATTTTATTTTTTTAGTAGATATTAATGCCAAACAATAAAGTCTGGGCTGTGCAGAATTATTGTCTTAGTATAAATACTAGGTTACTGATGTTATGATTCAACCTGTAGCATTGATGCAACTATGCACTTTTACAGTTTATTTCCTTTTTGTTACAGGTAAAAGCTGTATTAGTAGAAACAATATTGTAGCAATATAGTTGTGTTCAGTCTGAGGATGACATGCTGTTGAAATTTGATATAGTTTTAAAAATGTCGTCTAATAGGCACGCCTTAATAGCTGTGATGACAACAGCACCAGAATATAGTAGAGTTTGCATTATTACCCTCTGGTGTACATCCACATTGCTGATTTTGCCCCAGAGTCTAGGAAACTAAATCTTTGCAGCAAGTGCCAAGGGTAGGAGTAGCAGTGCAAGTACAGAACTGAAGTGGCATGGGGATGCCAACCAGTTTCTAAATCATTAATTTCTTCGTCACCAGCTTGCTAGCTCTGTGTTGAAAAGACCCAGTAGGCAAAGACAGTGAAGTCAGCCTTCTGGTCACTGGGGGGAAGCTGCAAACCTTTTATATTAAAATAGAACCAGTAGTTTCTCTCTCCAGTAGCCCCACAGTCCAGGGAACAGGTATTGTGGGATTAATCAGTTATATCAGCAATTTTCTTCATATGGAAAGGACGGTAAAGCACTTGGCACCTCTCTTTGCAGTCTGATGCTACCAGCAGGAGAGGAAGTTATGGTGGAGATTGGCTGGAAAAATCATTCTCAGATATATGTGCATATCTTAGACTTACACATCTACATTAGGGTCTACAGGGCACATGTACATAGAGCTGGGAGCTCGGAAACTCCTCTGGCAGACATTTAACTGAGTGATTTTCTTTTGGGATAACATCCATCCTTGCACTGCATCAAAAGCATCTAGTTAAACATGATAAAAAGAACTGTTGATCTAGGATGGAAATTATGAGCTATAAGAAGAGGCAGTGTAGTGTGCTTCATCACAGAAAAGACACTTACTATTAAAAAAATTGCCAGCTTAATATGAATAAGATAAATAATGCATTTATAAGTGAAGGAACCTTAATTTAAGGAAGACAAAATAAATAACATTAATAGATGTACCAAGCATCCAACAAATTAATCTTTAATTTATGGAAGTGCTGTGTACCTGAACGTCATCACTGAGTTGGCTGGCATGAGAGAATCTCTGAGCACCTGAAGCATATCACAGAGAAGTAATCCGAAAAGATTCATGTAAGGACAGACTCTAAAAATCACAGCTCAGGCAACTTAGCACACCTTTTGCCCGGTGATTATATGGTGCTGAATGTGTTCTTGAAATTTCAAGTACATACTTAGAAAATCCATTAAATTGAGGAGAAGTCCTTTCTTGGGTAATACAATACCAAGATAGAAGATTAAAAACAAAAGTCTTCCCAACATTTAAAACTTATGTTACAAGGTTTTATCTGGAAGGATTGTTTACTTTAGTTTTTTGCAGGTTCCCGTAAAATGGAATTTAAGGGAAGTTCCTGGCATGAATCCTGTTTCGTTTGCCAGTATTGCCGGCAGCCCTTGGGAACAAAACCACTGATCACCAAAGACAATGAGAATTACTGCGTGCCCTGTTTTGAGAAGCAATTTGCTCAGCATTGCTACGCTTGCAAAAAGGTAATTAAATGTACAGTGGAAAAATTGCCCTAATGGGGCAATACTGCTTGTGGGGAAAGGGGCTGGATTATATAAAATGCCTAAGAGAGTAAGAGCACTGGTATTGATACTGGACACTGAAGGCTAAATGCGACAGTGTCTGCTGTCCCCTTCTAGTTAACATTAATATAAGCTGTAATATATTTGAAATACATGTATTGACCAAAACAAACACTTTGGGGTTTCTCTGTTTGCACTTTTTAACAAACGTTGATATTGCACTGAAAATTATGTAAAACCCTTCTTTCCTGGTGATATCTGATTTTGCCTTGACAAACATGCCTCCCCTTCTGACATTTTTCAGATATATTCATATGATAATAAGCCACCAGAGCTGAGCAAAGCATTCACAGTCTTGCCCGTTTGTCTCTTGAAATGCATCAGGCAATAACCAGATTAAGTAATATTCAGTTGTGATAATACTAGTCAAGAGTCCTACTGTTTCAATACATGATGCTTCCCCTGTGGGTACCAGAAAGCTTCATTACAAATTAGTTTTCCTTTTTTTCCCCAAATACAAATAAATCAGTTCATCTCTCCCTTGGTTCCTCATGTTTTAAAAGTGTCTCTGATTGATTGATGAAAATACTCAAAGTATCATACTGTTCGAGTGTGATACTTTTCTCTAGGGAAATGTTTTAAGCTGCTTTTTATGGCAGAATTTAACTTATTCTTTAGTACCTGTATCACTCTGGAAGCAAAAAATTTTTTTTTTCACTTTATCAAATAACTTATAATTTCTAAAGTTATTTAATGTTTATCTGTAAACCTCTACCTCTAACAAAAGCTTTTAATTTAAGAAGAATCTGCTGCCTGTTTTATTCTTTAGTAGTTAAAGTTTAGAAAGTACTTTTATATATTAGCATGCATCGACATCTAGTCTTTAATTTTCATTAAATGATCACATGGCAAATACAGTAATTCTGCTCTATGTTTATTAGAGGCATTGAGGTTAGCAGCACTTTACGTGAAATAATCAGGACTTCCTAAAAATTCTGCAAATGCAAAGAGTCCCCCTACATAATGGCTAAAAGAATTTTACTACTTAAACTTGCATCAATTCCCATAAATAAGAATTGAGCCCTAAGAGGTAAAATTGCCAAACTGAAGTCTTGAATCTTGTGCCAGAGATTTTGAGATTTTAATGGAAAAGCAAATGAGAGTTAGAATTAGCCCAATACTGGAGTGCTAAAGGCATCAGGAACTTTTTAAATTTTTTTATTGCCTGACATCACCCAATATTATTCACTGAAACTGTATTCCCCAATGCCACTATTTTTACTTACTTAAGTTTCTCCAACTTTTTCCTCCTCATGTTCCAACTATATTCAATCCTTCATTCATTCACTGTCGTGCATATGACTTGACAGTAGAAACACTACCTTACAGCTCATCTTTATCTCTTCTATGAAACTTCTGTGAAACCAGCTCTTTAACACACATATGGAAGCAATAGAGCAACTGGAAATTTTCCTCTTCAGAAATAACCAGTAGAGCGAGCTGTGAGTGATTTGCAGGGAATAAGAAGTTTGATTGCACTGATAAACACGATTTTTTTTCTTCTTTTGGCAGTGTAGATCTCCTTTCTGTCTCACTTCTGCTTCTTCACTGTCTCTTTCTTCCTACCTACAATTATGAAACAGCAAAATACCCAGTTCCACTTGGAGATTAGCCATAATCTCAGCATTGGTTCTCTCATTCACTGTCCATCACCTAGAATTGCTCTTCTGAGAGTATGCCTGATGCTAAGCCTTTATCTGCAGGTGTAACCAAAAAATTTCGTAACAAACTAACCTGTTTATTACAAGCCATTAGGTTTTCCTATGATAGAAAGCAGAGAATAACAAACCAGTGGCATGTTCAGCTCAACTGCAGTTAGTCAAGTTGATATTCCAGATGAAAAATGGTTGACATGACCACATTCTCTTCTCTTGTGCATATGGGAAGAGCAAAAACAAGTCAAGGACTTATGAAGGACTAGATAATCCTTCAAGATTCACACCACTGTTTCATTGCTCTGTCCTTTTTGTCAATATATTAGGTAATAACTTCTGGGGGAGTGACCTACCATGACCAGCCTTGGCATAAAGAATGCTTTGTGTGTGCTGGGTGTAAAACTCAGCTGTCTGGACAAAGGTTTATTTCCAAAGATGAATATCCATACTGTGTAGACTGTTTCAGCAAATTGTATGCTAAGAAGTGTGCTGCTTGCAAGAAACCTATTACAGGTGAGTCTCATCTTCCTGTAGGGTCTAGACACCACCTGGCTTCTCTCAAATCAGACCTTTGCTTTAGAAAACTGCATTAAAAACAGTCTCATCATAATGAAAGACCGAGGGAATTAACTACTAGAGACACTCTCTCTCCATCACATGTAGCGTGTCTTGCTAGGACACACAGATCGCATGTGTTCCCTGACTGCTGAGGAGCTGTTTTATGTGCCAAAAGGAGTTCCTGCATTGTCCAATTTAGTGCTTCCTGCACTAAAATTCATCCCTAAGAATATGTGAAAAGACACTTTTTGGGTCTTCCCAGGACAGTGCGCACAAGTCTCTTGTGTCTGTAATTTCTTCATCTTTGTTTTTAAGTGCAAATGTGATCAAATTGGACACGAATTAACTGCCTGCTGCTTAAGCACAGCTGTCAAATTAAAAAGCCTGCCAAATGCAACAAAGCTCTGTTGCATGCATCCTTGTGTACTTAGATGATTTATAGTTAGACATATAGGTCACTAGTCTATGACAGCTGAAGTTTTCTGAGAGCATTTGCTGGTGTTCTGCATTGTAATTCTATTATGTGTGGACTCAGCTGTTGGAAGAGTACTGATTGTTGCAGGTGCATTCTGCCTATGTAAGTGGACACATAAAATGATGAATACCCAATCAAATGGGCACAATTTTACAAAACAAACAAGCAAACAAAGAAAACAAACAAACAAACAAACAAAAAAAAAAAAAACCAAAACCAGCAGTGTTTTATTTCAGGTACTTGTGTTAGGAACTCCATGATCTGGTGATTTCTGAAGGACTCCATCTTGAAGAAACTTAGGTGGAAATAATTACATTTCACTCAGTTTTGTATAGAAACTGTATGTATCAATACATTGCAAATAATTTTCATTAGAGTTTTTTAGGAAGATCAGCAAACCTGAATGGACATTCTGATAAATGCATTCTGTTCAGAGTTCATAATGGGGTATAAAAACAAGTAAGTGATTTGTGGCTTTGCTTAAAATATTTCTCACTGCATTTAATTTTAAATTTTTTTTTCAATTCAGTCAACAAAGGATATTTCAGACTATGGATTTTTGTTCATTTTTTGTTTGCTATATGAATGACAACCTGATCACACATGAGAAAACAATCTGTTGCATTTCCGAATCACGTCCAGAAATACTGGATTCACATCATCTTTCTCATAATCTCTTTCAGCTCTCGGAGGTGCCAAATTTATCTCATTTGAAGATCGCCAGTGGCATGGGGAATGCTTTAACTGCGCTAAATGCTCTGTCTCGCTGGTGGGCCAAGGATTCCTCACTCAGCGGGATGATGTCCTCTGTCATGAATGTGGCTCTGCTTCATAGTTCTGTGGAGAGCTGTACGGATGCATTATTTTCTCTCTGTAACCATGTCCTTCATTACTCTGCAGTAAGAAAATAATCTAAAAGGTATAGCAGTTATTTAGCCATTCAACTAACTTTCCAACAGCAGTTTAATTCTATCATAGTTCTCAATGGCTTGTAAAAAAAATTTAAACAGTCCCATATTGGCTAAGAAAGTAATGCAGAAAAGATTCTTATATATTTTAAATCTCACTACAGTATGTTTCTCCTTGTAACACACTGCACTCTGCTGTTAGAAGCTTACAAATTTTCATTTCATCTCTCACGAACCAAAAAGGATTGTGAAAAGTCTATATGGCGTGACTAATGATGAGGTATTAGTACTGCTTCACAGATGCAGACCTTGGTGTGGAAAGCTGGGCATGTGCCTTTTTCTGTGGGATCATTACACTGATGAGAACAACTGTAAATATCAACTTCCTCCATACTTTGGGGAAAAAAGCTGCTGACAAAGCAGGCAGAAAGTGGGAGGAGGGTGTACTTTTATACAGAGGGCCACTGAGTCAGAGAGACCCATTCCAGGGCCAGATATAGGGAAAAAGGTCTTTTTCTTTCTCCTTACTGAGATTGCTCCTCAGAAACATAGTCTTTAGTCATCAAAAAAACCTGGGTGACAGGTGCTTTTCCTAAAATTGGTTAACTGTACTTATTTTTTTCAGGCATAACTGCTTTAGAACATATATAAACCCATATTTTGAGCTATTGTAACAGGTAAGGATTGCCCAAGATTGGATAGTGCTGATGTACGCTTTCCCATAGCTAATATACCTTAAGACTCTGTCTCCATTGTCTTCACTAGACCTTCAAATACATGCATAAAATATATTTTTTTTAGTAGTAGAGACAAGAGCCAAGTCATACTTGTCCCTTTAACCTTCTACTTTCCTCCCATCAGATCCCATTTACCAGCAAGCAAAACGCTGTTAATGGCCTTACTATTTCCACCCTGCTAGGACTTTGATCCATGGTCTACCCCTTTTCTTGTAAATGCCTGCTTGTCTGCAGCAAGCTACAAGCTCTTCAGAACCAATACCCGATTCATTTTGGCATGTGCCACATGCATTTGTCAATATTATGTCAAGAATTGGTAACGTCATGGTAGGCATTGCAGTCCTCGCTTGTAGTACAAGGTATTCATTTCTAGGTAGCTGGCTTTGAGAAGGTTGTATCTGCTTGCTGAGCTTCAGCACTTAAGTGTCTGTTATTGACTATATTTTCAGTTACAAGCATTTCTCTTCTTACTTCTTCCATACTGTGTGTTACGATGGCTTGATTCCTGTTACAGTGTCTGTACCAGGCTGCTGTGAACGGTGCTGTGATATTAAGGATGGCGTATTCTGCACTGCTCACCGCTGGTTTAGTCCTCATCTTGCACATCTTTAAGTAATACATTCTCCTTTAGACTCTAACCTTAAGTGCATAGAGTTATTTGGCTGACTTGAGCGGGCTTTATTCATACTGAAGCCAACCATTACTTTAGGTAGAAAAATGAAAAAAAGATAAAAGAAAAAAAAGAATACGTGTGCATAGCTAAGCCAGAGCTGAATTGCGGTGGCATAAAATCAATATGGATAATGACCCACCAACAAGTACATAACAGTCTGGTTTCCAGTCCATAAAATACTGATCTCTTGCTCTACGTGGTGTTCATTTTTGTTTTTCAGTTTCTTCTTTCATAGCAGCTTTTATTGCAGTCTGGAGTTTGATTAGTTTATGTCTTTTCATTTTATCCCAGCTGCCTCCTTTTCTATTTTCACATTTCACATGGCTGATACAGGTTCTTGGTAAGACCTGGATTCCCATAAATAGAAATACGTTTCTTTGCCTTAAATATATATATATACACACACATATAGTGGTTCACAGTTATGTATTATGTTGTAAAAATGTGCACCAATTTATCAGAAATTAGACCATTAGTAAATGTTAATTGTCTTAAATTTTTAAATTAAAATGATGAATCACCAGATGCAGGCTTGTCTGTAGGGTGTACCTTTTGTTTGTGTTGTTATGTGAAATAACATTCAGCAAATTGCAAGAATGTGATTTCGGCCCTTTATTCAGTCTTGTCTGAACAACCTTCCAGTTTAATTACAAACTGACGCAAGAATTACCAGGCAGAGTCCTCAGACATGACAGAGTCACAGGTTAGACAAACTGATAATGATAATCCCAGTCTTCAAGCCTTAACATTTAGGAAAATGAAATCCTTCTCTGACTCATCAACTAATTATATTTTTAAAAATACCAACTGAATTATTTACTTCTCCTGCAGTATATACACTACAGTCAAATCTGAAACTGAGCATTTTGACTTCAGAGTAACAATAAGAAATGAACGTGACTGCTATAAATAGTTTGAATAAAAGTTATGCTCGATATCAGATTGATATTTCCTAGTCTCAATCACTAGCTATCGACGTATAAACATAAATACAGTAATACTCTGCATAATTTGGGTCAGCTATGCTCATGTAGATGAAAGCCAACTTGAACAGGTGCAGAGAAGGGCTGCAAGAAGGAGTAGTGTGTCTCTGCGGAGGACTGCAGATCATGGAGGGGATTAGGCAGCTGCTATAAGCCAAGAGACTACATTTGGTTCAAGAACAAAGGCAAGTAAACTCTTCAGGACTGGAAATTGGAAATCAAAAGGCTGCTGCTGCTGCTACTGAGCAGTGACACTCCAGGAGAGCCTCTTTCCAGAATCAAGAGGGGAACAGCTATGCGGTCTGTTTTAAAGTGATGCTTGATCAGTGTGTTAAATGATGTGTATAACATGATTGCCTGGGATAGCAAAGCACCGAGCAAAATGAACCAGATGGTCCGCTGTAGTCTTTGTTGCTAACATTTGATTTACCGCAGAATGATCAGGGTACAGACTGAAGTGTAATTCAATTTCCTTTAATAAACTTCAGAGGATGGAAGTTTGAGAGATTTATTTTTCAGTCAATCTTTCTTAACATCATGTGCCTTTCTTTAACATTGTACTGCTTTATTTTAAAATATATCTAGTCCTTCCCTGTGTGTTAGCTGCCCAGCTCTAAGGTAATCACATTGCTTTTGTTATGATCAAGCTCAATCTAAGGTGCAGCGATGTCTCTAATGCCTTGACCACACCTCCACTGTACCCATAGTCATCCCAGGGGACTGAGAGGGAGTCTGCCATTTGGGACTAATTTCTGAAGAGCAAAGTAGGTGCCCTATTACCTCCCTCGATGTTTAAGAATAAAGTTTAAGTAAGTTCTTCAACCAATGCCTAATTGCCAGAGAACTCCCAGAGGTAATATGCCTAAAATAAGGCGGCCAATACTGGAGTATTGGTACCAAGTGACCCTTCTCTACCCGTATTTCATTCACATTTTTCACTCTGAGTCAAGTTCATATAGTGAGAGCAAGACATCAGCCTTTTCCTGGACTACTACTTTTACAATCCAGGCATGTTTTCAGTAGATGTTGTAGCAGACAACATAGAGCAGCAGTAACTCAGAAACCCAGGATCACTTCCCAGCATTTCACAGGTGGAGGCACATGCTCCGGACTCATGACTTAGATCTAGGATGAAACCCAGACATCCTCCATTCTCTATCCTTCTTCCCTGGTTTTCTGGAAAGAAAATCTGTGAGACTAAGCTGGGGAAGAGCTAGGGCATCGTCTGGCCTTACCAGTAAAGTGGGTGACACATCACAGTGTAGTTTTTCTGTAGTAACTCAGCACATGCAAGTTCAACTGGTTCTTGTACTCTACTGGTGGATATTGTCCCAGACTTTCCTCATGATAAGAATGTCTCAATGCAACCACAGGAGCATTGGGAAGGGAGTGGTAAAGTTTTGCAGTGCCTTCTGGACTTGTGGTTTCAAACACTTCACAGGCCCCATCATGAGAGGGGAAGTACTTGTTTATATCCCTCCGAGTTGGCCAGCAATTTCAGCACCTGGTCAAAGTTTTTATGAATCTCACTTGATTTAATAGACTGGCTGTAGAGCAGTGTATTGTATTTTAGGAAGACAAGTAAAAATACAGTGGCATTTATACAATGACAACTATGTATCTGATATGAAGGTACGAAGGTATCAGATATGAAGGAAAGTAATGTTAAATGATTGCCTGAATGGAAGCTGGGAGATCATTTCTGTAAACAAAGAAGTTGGATGGATTTCAAGCCTATAGCCAGAACAAACTTGTTTACCAATCAAGCAGG